TCCTTGTTTTTAGATTATTACCTATTCTACCTGAAATTATCCAACCTAGTTTTGTTTTGTGCAACTTTGATTTGTGACCTTATATTCCTAACAACGCATCTACTTCAGAGGGTTCATGGAATTGCGGATCAGCAAGAGTTATATTAGGAGGAATATACATGCGATTCCGAAGCATTATCTAACAATAGGCGTGCTTGAACTAGGTTCCCGTTTTTAGCCTTTACGTTTACCAAAGCTGTTTACAATAACACCTGTGACCCTGCTTTCACACAGACGGTTTTTTGCCGTGGCCGTGCACGGCAACCGTGCCGTGTATAATAGTAATACATTGGTTTATATGCAAGCTTTCACACAGCACGATTTGCTGCCGGAGCCGTACACGGCTGCCGTCGCAACACGGCATGGGGACTGCAACGGCATGGCGCCGTAGCCGTGCACGGCAACAGTGAGACAAGCAAGTGTATAGAAGTGTATAGAAGTATTCACACGTTTGTTTTCAAGATCGTTTTTCTCTCTGAATTGTGCAGTTAACAGAAGAAATTATACAGTGTAGCGGATAATAACACCGCTATATTTAATTTAAAACATATATTTGACTAAACATTATATTACACCCTTTTGTAAATATTTCTACTCGAATTCTTTTGTATTTGTCTTTCTATTATTATTATTCTCTGTGAAAATATTTGGAACAGTGTATTCAAATTCTTTTGTATTCATTTTCTATCGCTATCAATAACTTTTATTACTTGTACTTTCCAGTAATCCCTATTAATATTTCAGCTTCGCGTACTAACTGCATGCCGTCCGTAGTTAGCATCCTTTCCTAATTACAATTTTACGATGGGTTTTCTTCGGTGATTTGGGACTACATTCTATTTATTAGTATTTGTTATCTTCAGAACTTTCCTATCTTATTAGTTACTACCCTATTAGTACTCTACTTTCATCCACCAAATATTAGCTCTTCCTTCATATTTCTTTAAAAAAACCCTTTTCTTTGATAATTTACAGTTCGTTCCGAATCTCTCGAAAAATTCACCCATCAATTGTCTGTTTTCAAGTAGTGGATGAATCCAAAATCTTCTTGTTTTTTGTGTTTTTTTGCGATTATGCCATATCATTAGTAACAACATACGTTTTTTCCTTTCGTCCATTTTGGTCACATATCAAAACAAAACTAAACCCGTGTAAAACCGTGTGAAGTGTGAACGCAAAGCAAAATGAAATTACGGCACGGCACGGCACGGTTGCCGTTAGAAAACCGTCTGTGTGAAAGCAGGGTGAGGGTACTGTACTGTTCGTCAGTATCTTGACCTTTGAATTTCCCGCGGATGCTTGGACTTCATTCAGACACTCATCAGCTTTATTATCAAATTTCTTTTCGTCATAATGCAACAATGAATTGTGCCTTTTAGCGCACTCCCTACATCCAGACCATTTACATTCATCACTACGATGTCCCGAATTTAAACAGTTAAAACATAAGTTCATTGATTTGACTTTATTTATGCGATTACAAAAGTAAACAATCTCTCTCCTACTACTCTAAGATTATGAAATTTAAAAGACTTTACTGTTGCCTCCCAAAGACCGCCGAAATGCGGCGATCGCGGAGGCGAGAAGTGCCAATTTATGCCAAGATTTAATAAATACTGCTTAACATTATTATTGTGGTTTTCAGACCCAACCAATCTTACGACGTTTTCGATTTCATTTTTTGCTCCCACGAAATTGGTAGCATTATTATCACTATACAAATTTTGAGAACGACCGCGCCTAGCAAAGATTCGGCGAAGGCCTCCAATAAATGCATCGGTACTCAAATCCGTCACTAATTCCATGTGCATGACTTTGGTAGCAAAAGACACAAATATACATGCATTAACCTTTACCACGCCACGGTTTCTGTATTTTTTCTCCTTAACTTTAAATGGACCGCAATAATCAACCCCAACATAGGCGTGATTGAACTACACGATTGTGCGGGAGATCACCCATGAAGTAGGGAAGGTTGTCGTTAGGTTTAGCTTTAAAACAAGTAATACATTCTCGAATTAATTTTTTAATGGTATTTTTAGCGTTGAGGGGCCAGTATTTCGATCGAACCGCATTAAGCGTAGCCTGAGTTTCACTATGAAGGCTGTGTATATGCTCCTCACTTATTATCAGTTTCGTTACAAAATTGTCCTTTGGTAACAAAATAGGATGTTTTTCTGCGTATGAAAGAAGTGAATTTTTCAATCGTACCTCTACTCGAATAAGTCCATCATCGTCTAAAAATGGGTTTAACGCACGAAGCCTGCTATTAGGAAGGACATGTTTTGATTGAACTAGTTGTTTCAAGTCATCTGCGAAATGTTCTCTCTGAACAATTTTTAAGATTTTGGTTAAAGCTAGTTCAAGTTCGTTTATCGTTAACTNGACTTTTAATATAATAATTTCTGAGTATTCGAAAGATCTGTTCTTCTGTGAATAGAATTTTCAAAACTATTATAAAAATTTAACCACTTACTATATGTACCGTCAAAAGAAATTAGTTCTATTTTAGGTAATGCTATGTTAATGTGTGATGCTACCTGATTGTTATTGAACGAATTCTCGTATTCTAACGGTTTGTTTACCGATGGACCTTGTAGAGACTTCGATTCTATTGTTTGATGTGCACGCGTTAATGTTGAGTAAAATAAATTTTCTAAATCATCAAATTCACTGGTTGGTTTATTTGTAATTTCTTCTATTTCGGTCTGAATCTCTTCGAACTTATCTGAATAGGTTTCAACTTTTCTTAAAAACTTAATTTCAATAACATTGCTCTGATTTTCTTCTACGTTTAAGAAATTCCCGAATTTTGTAAGATTACCTTTCAATGTGGTTCTTTGCTTTTTTAAGGAATTTAGCTGCACTTCTAATTCTGCCATACTGAGAAATTAGATAAAGACTAAAGACTATTTACTGAATGGTTAATTGAATTGAAATCCACGACTGAAAATTGAATCTAGGAATTATGTAACAAGGTAAGAGGAAAAAGAGAACCTTAACTTATCTGATTTTTGATGACCAAATAGTGGATGACCAGGTGCCTTGTTGTAAATGACTGCAAATGATGATGACGATGAACTTCTTGTATCCGTGAATTTCCTGTGTTAATGAATGATGATGAATGCTGATACTCTGCTTCTACTGCTGACTTCGAAGGTTGCACTCCCTTCTGTTGTATCACTGAAGTACTCGGTCGGTACGATATAATAATTCGATAATTAATAACGATGTCATTGAATTACGCACAATTTGTTCGTATACCAGCGAATTTGCACTTTTCGTATACTTTTACGACTTAGTTTTCGATATGATTGAATTTCACTGTCACTGTAACACAACGTATATACGCTCGAATTAATTGATTGCGTATTAACACTGAATACGGAGATAAGTAGACGTGTATCCAAACTGTTTAGACATATAGGCAATGGACTTCTAGAGGTTATCACCAATGAAATTCCACTGCTGTACAACCTTAACTAAAAAGCTGCACCACTTATTAAAAACAAACGAATAAGCAGGACAGTGGGTTTAATAGTTTATTTACACTAATTACAAAATCGTTGTTCAAATGTGTGCGTAGATATCATATGAAAAAACTGTAGAAAACTCTGGTTACAAACTATATTTTTCAATATTTATTAAATTTTAAGTTAAAGTGGGGTTGTAATAGAGGGTGGTGATTTTCGAATTTAGCGCCTATCATTGGTTAAGGGGAGTGGTAAGGATGTTGATTAAAGGAAGGAGGTATTGAGAGGGCAGGGGTAGAACAAGTAATGCATAAGGCTAATGACACTGCCTGACGAAATTTCCAAATCTACCGATTCCGACTAAATCCCTACAATAGCTATTGTAAACATTTACAAAATAGAATTCAACCATAAAATTGAAATGAACTGTATTCCCAAATGATCGGATCATAAAGTTAACATATAGAATATACCCAAATGTGTCGAGAATAAAGAGCATAAATATTTAAATGGTTTTATGACGTGCAGTTTAAGATCTTTAGAAATGTAAATAATAAGAGAATATTGCACCCCATTTCATAGACCTAAGTACAATACGACTATTTACATGACTTGAACTATTGAACGTCGGCAAATACTTTATGAATCTTACAGTATCACTAGTGTCCTTTAGAGATTGCGAATTGGTGAAGTCTACTAAATCTGATTATGACACCCAGAATTCGTAATGATTTTTATACAATATTATCTATATGGTCCGCGAACTTCAGTTTATTGTCAAGTGTTATGCCTAGATCCTTGATAGTGTTAGTTACCTGTAATTATTGATTTCCCATCATGTATATGGTTGATTGAGATATATTCTGTGAGCAAGTGAAAGTCATAACGGTGCATTTGTTCATGTTTAGTTTTAATTTATTGGTAATACTCAAGTTATGGAACTCTTCAATGTTTTGTTACAGTAGTAAGAGGTCATTAGGGCAGGTTATGCTTCTAAGTATTTTTAGGTCATCGGCGTATAGTAGATGTTCTAATGTGAAGTTCGAGCCTGTATCTTTGATGAACACATTAAAGAGGATAAGGCCTAAGTGTGAGCCTTTAGGTATACCTGACGTTGCATAAAATGGATGTAATATATAGCCTAGGATGTCCCTTATATGGCGAAAAAAAATTTTTTTTAGAAATTTGTAATGCATAACCCTCTACATTTTTATGAATGCTAAAACATACTTAAATATGAAATTTTATCTTTCTAGGTTGATTACAACAATAATTCCTGATATATTGCTCTGTATAAAACTACTACCAATGAAAAAAAATTAAGTAAATAAGGGTTAAAATAAAATAAGGCTTATATTAATAATTATTTAAATACATAAAATAATAGTAATCAGCAAGGGTATTGTCACGCAGTGAAGTTTTAGGGGAATTCAAAAAACCATTTTAGACGTCAAAACATATTTCAAAATTAATTAAATATTTCATAATTATAACGTTGCTATTCTTTTCAAATTCATAAAACGGATATCGAGTTTATTCACTTGCAAAATAAGCGTATTTGGCATTACACAGCAACGAGGCAGTAACTAAAACAATTATCTATTTACAAGCAGAAATTGACGCCAGTTCGATAGCTCTCGTCATTGAGAAAATTATTGAACTTCTAAAAACTTTGAAAAACTGTGAAGTGTTGGTATGCTAGTGGGTGTTTAAAGATTAATGTCATAATGTAATAATTTTTCCTTTTTTAATTTTTTTTTCTTTAGCCAAAAATGGAGCCCATCTTTTGTAAGCCGGGGGGAAGTGTCACGCAGTTTAAGTTTTAGGGAAATTCAAATGTAAACATAGATGGAGATTGTCGGTGTGGACTCCTGGACAAGGATGATTGGTGTGTGAAAGGATCTGTAGTAGTGCTGCTGTGTGTTGGCCTGAAATCTTTTGAATTTGCTGCCCCTGGATATTTTTGTTACTTATTTGTTTGACGTTTGCCTCCGAGCTCGATTTTTTCTGACTGCGTGTTACTCTTTTTTGTTCGTCACACATTTAAATTAAATAACACCACATAAACTACTCTGAGTCGATTACAATAAATTATACATAGAAAAAAGTTCGTCACTTTTAAATTAATTAACACCACATAAACTACTTTGAGTCGATTACAATAAATTATATTTAGAAAAAAGATTGCGCATAATTTAATAAATCACCCCTATTTAAAAATAATACGCTACCTATGTAAGTTATGGTTAGTCTACGCCAGGGAACCAATATTACCTACGGAGGCGAATATATTACCTACCCCAGATCCAAAGGACAGTCACGAAATTAGAGATGAAGCATTGTTAATTCGGTACAATGCTGTGGAAAACATCGAAATGAAACAAAAGATTGACAAACTTAGATACGACACAAAACATAGGCACGTCGGATATAAAATGGGAGACCAAGTGAAAGTATTGACCACAGTCAGAAAGGTAGGAAGAAGCGAAAACTCCTACTAAGATGGTTCGGTCCCTACTACATAACAAAGTTTCGGACGTAGACTACGAGGTACAAATGCGTAGAACAGAAAAATCACGAAAAGATGTGGTGCACGTTAGTAGAATCCTTCCTTATTACGACCCATGGACACCCGAACCATTACCCGAAATTTAATTATTAACTACATAAATTATGAAATTTAAATAAATTTAAATATAATAAAAATAGTAACGAAATGAATAATTGGCGAAAAAATCAACGAACAATTTATATGAAAGGCGTAAAATAAGGACTCTATTGTTTGAATAATGAAGGCATTAATATAAGGACGATATAGGATTTTTTTATCACCAGATTCGCCCTAATCATAAGAGTCAAGTTGGGGTACTCGCAAGGGGACTACCATGTGGAGGTCAACGCTGGCGCGTTTTGGAAACCGGTGCCAGAAACTATAACTTACGAAGCCGCAATACCATTAAACTATGAGACGAATTGGAGTGAAGAAGGCATGGAAACAACAACACCCTTAGAAAAAACATGCAATACTCCATCGTAGGCGGATGAGTGCGTTATTGAACATCATATACGCGAATTATCAATAGCATATACAAAGGAACTACAGATGCTAGGAGATAGTTGGAGCATCAGTTCATTAAACCCACAAGAAACATCTAGAAATAAGAGATCGTTAGACTTCATTGGTGAAGGATTCTCTTGGTGCTGCAGACTAGTAACACATGAAAAACTAAAAGTGGTAACGAAAAACGAGAACTGGCTAAGGCAGCAACTCCTATCACTTACGAAGTGGCTTTCATCGTCGGTGAAACAAGTAAGTGAAAATTCAGAAAGGTTCAGAAAATACGACAGCATGATATCAGCCACGTTTCAGAAGACGGAAGACAGAATGAAAATCATTGAAAGGTATGTAAAGATTATGCGAAAAAGTATCATTCAAACTATACGAGAACAAGATTCATTTTGGACGACTTCATTATACAACGAGTATCAAAATTTAAAAAGAATCATACTTTTAACCAGACCAATAAGAAGACATAACATTATAACGTCATGTAAGCATCACAAAACCCCGCCATTAGTCATTCACCCTGTAATATTAAAACACGACCTAGAAAGGTTGGAAGGGGAGATGGGTAAATCAGGGCAGGAACTGGCCATTCCTGTTACCGAGGTTTATAAGTATTTCGAACTTCCAATTACCGACTGTTCCTTTACTCAAAACAAACTTTTTATACAAATTAAAATTCTGATCATGGCAGAAAAGAATCATTGGAATCTTTTTGAATTAATAACAACACCTTTTGCCTGGTACAATCAAACGTGTTCTATACCTCACCAACCCCTATTTCTAGCAGTAACTAATCAAAACCCCGTAAGGAAACATAGCCTAAGGCAAATATCAGGAACGGGCTCACATTAGTGCAAACCTTATCATAACAAGCTCTGTTACATACCCCGATTTTCCGCTGATTCGATACAGGGACCTGAATGCGCGAAGAAATTATATGAAGAAACAACCGTTAAGATTTAAGCCAACATTGTCCAATGAACTGCCACAGAGTAAAGTCTGTGATAATTTCAGGGGTACTAGGAGAAGTATATATAACAACTCACCCAAAACCTAACACCACAATAAAATGCGGTGAAAAAAATTCCCAATACCTAATAATTACAAAAAGCAGGGTTCAATAAAAATTAATCTTCCGTGCCATTGCAGTCTTCAGTCGGAAAACGACGTCTTCATCGCCGACAGATTTCCATGCCGCGAAAACCTAAAAAATGAACCACAAATTATTCACATTATACCTGCCATTTGGTCTAACCTACAATCATTCATTCTAAGACCGCACGCAAACCAAAATATTCCTACGTACAAAAACATACATGAATGCCTAAACGATAATTGGACCTTAAATATCCCTCATCTAAACTTAACTTCTAACGAAAATCAATTAAAAAATGTTATAGATGCTATAAGTAATCCGGATTTGTACAATCCATTCACATCATACAGTGACAACTATGGAATACACAGCGATTCCATACTTTTTATTTGGAATATCGTACTATCCATTATTGTTATATACTTACTCTGGAAACAATACCTGCTGATCGCAGCAGCAGCAAATGTTCAGCCAGTAAGGGGCCAATCACCGAGTCCAGAACCTTCACATCATGCCCCACTCAACATAATTTACACCTGCCTAATCATCTTCCTTATATACATGACATTTCATCTCGTCAAATGTTTAAAACGGAGAGAAACACCTACAACCATAAATCGCGTACTGTTAAATGTAAATTTGAATATAATAGTTAATTTACTTTTGTATGGACTAGATGGCGAACGGTTCGTTATGTCTATGGTATTGTTGGACATGTTCTATCATCTATGATTGTAAGAAATTACGTTTACGTTTTGTATGTTCTTTGTGTTTTTACGTTTTATAATTAAAATCTTTTAACTGTTATGGTTTATTAGTCTGTGTGATACCTAAAATAAAAAACCCAACAGATTATGGGCCCAGATTGTCAGACATAATCCGGGCAGTAAAAGCTATACTAAAAAAGNATTGTAAGAAATTACGTTTTTTTACGTTTTGTATGTTTTTTGTGTTTTACGTTATATAATTAAAGTCTTTTAACTGTTACGGTTTATAAGTCTGTGTGATACCTAAAATAAAAAACCCAACAGGTTATGGGCCCAGATTCTCAGACATAATCTGGGCAGTAAAGCTATACGTTAAAAAGTAATAAAATAAAAGTGGTGTTAAAAAAAAAAATAAAATGGCATTCAACTCAGAGGACATGAATAAGATCGAGAGGCTGGTAGATGAAACGTCTTATCAAATATGGAAACTGCAGATTACTGTTATGTTTAAGGCATACGACTTATATGATATTGTAAATGGTAACCACAAAATAACACAAAATGATTCAGTTGATACCATAGCAAAATGGACGAAATATGATGCAAAAGCTCAAAACCTGATTTTAATGTCGGTTGAAAAAAATATATTTTGCATATCATGGATTGCAAAAATTCAAACGAAATGTTTAATAAAATAAAAGGCATGTTTGAGAAATCTACATCAGATCAAATATGTAGTTTGTTACAAGAATTTTACAGTTACAGTTATATAAAGGGAATCGATCTAAGTTCACACATAAGCAAAATTGAGAACATTGCATATAGACTAAACGGCCTAAATTAAAATATTGATGAAAACATGATAATATCTAAAATACTATCGTCTTTACCACCAAATTATAGCTTTTTTAGAACCGCTTGGGGGTCTACAGCAGAAAATGAAAAAACATTGGCTAAATTAACAGCTATTAATTAAGACTATTAACAGAGGAGTCAAGAAATAAAGAAACAGAAAGTGATAATACTGTGGCATTTAAGGCTGATACAAAAAGTACAAGGTTTATGAAAGATAATGGAGAATGCTTTAAATGTAAACAGAAGGGGTCATATAGCTAAATTTTGTAGAAGTAAAGGGTCAACAATGTGCAGTATATGTAAGAAGACAAACCATCTTGAACAAAACTGCTTCTTCAGAAATAAAAATCTAGGTACAAAAAGAACTGAAAATCAAATTCATATGTGAGGCTGAAGCATATCAAAATTTAAAAGTATCAAAATTACGCTCAGACAATGGAGGTGAATATTCTAGCAGAAACTTCAAAGAATGGTGTAAAAATAGAGGCATTATACTAGATAATACAGTGGCACATTCCCCTCAGTTGAACGGAAAAGCTGAACGTTTAAATAGAAATCTTCTAGAAAAGGCAAGAGTCATGATTTTTGAATGTAAGTTAAATAAGGATATGTGGAGTGAAGCTGTTTACGTTTCAGCATATCTATTAAATAGAAGTCCATCTGATACCATTGATATGACACCTATAGAAAAATGGACCGGTAGAACACCAGATTTGTCTAATTTACAAATTTTTGGTTGTGATGCATTTGCAAAAAAAATTGGGATACTTAAAGAAACTAGATTCAAGAAGCAATAAATATATTTTTGTTGGATATGCGCCCTGTGGTTATCGCCTATGGGATTCCAAGAACAGAATAATAGTTATATCAAGGGATGTAATATTTTGCAGTCAAAGTTTAGAAAATGTTAAAGAAAGAAATAGTACTAAAGTAAGAAATATAAAAGAAAATGACATGAGTGACACTGAAAATGAANAAGAATAGTTATATCAAGGGATGTAATATTTTGCAGTCAAAGTTTAGAAAATGTTAAAGAAAGAAATAGTACTAAAGTAAGAAATATAAAAGAAAATGACATGAGTGACACTGAAAATGGAATAATAGAAAACATGGAAGAACATGAAAATAACCAAGAAAACAGAACAGAAGAAGAAGATGATGATCAAATAGAAGATTTAAGGGAATATGAAAACAGTTCATTGGGAGAAGGATCGGAAGAAGAATTTAGAACATTACAAGAAATAATACCAAACTGTGAGACCAGAAGTGGGAGAAAAACAAGAATTCCTAGCAAATTTGATGATTACGTCATGTTAACATATCAAGAAGCCATAACCAATTCAGAAAAGGAAAATTGGATAAAAGCAATATATGAAGAAAAGAGATCACTGATAAAAAATGACACGTGGAAGTATGTAGATAAAGAAAAGGCAAAAAATCAAAAGGTATTAAGTAGCAGATGGGTATTTAGAATAAAGGAAAATGGGATTTTTAAAGCAAGATTGGTTATAAGAGGTTGTGAACAGCAATATGGGATAAACTATCAGGAAACATTTAGTCCAGTAATTAGTATTACTTCGTTACGAATACTTTTTGCGCTGACAGCTTCGAATCATTGTTTTTTGTAAATTTGACATAAAAACCGCCTTTCTATATGGCAAATTGGATCAATGCATTTTTATGGAAATTCTTGAAGGCTTCAAGACAAGAAACAACAAAAATGAAGTATGTTTGTTACAAAAATCACTTTATGGACTTAAGCAGTCACCCCTAAAATGGAATGAACATTTCCCAAAAGTACTCAAATCGAAAGGGCTTACTGCACTCAAAAGTGAAAAATGCATATTCAAAAATATAACTTCAACGTTATTTCTGGCCATTTATGTTGATGATGGGATTAGTGTTGGTGAAAATTGTGATGAAATGAATAGATTACCCGAAGAATTAAAACATGAATTTGAAATGGTACCATGTAACAATCCTACTTCGTTCTTAGGAATACAAATAAAATGTGACAATAATAAAATCTTTATCGCAAGAAAACTTCATTGATGCAACTTTAGAGAATTTTGGATTTCAAAATTTAAATCCTGTGTCAACACCGATGCAATACGATCCCAAAGAAGATGAAATACCCCCGAAGAATCAAGGATTCCCATACAAAGAGCTTGTTGGTAGTTTATTATATCTTACAAACAAGACCAGACTAGACTTATCTTTTTCGGTAAATATGTGTAGCAGAAAATTGGACAATCCGTCGTGTCGGGATGTAGTTAACTTAAAACGCATTATTCGATACCTAAAAAAAAAAGATGGTATTAGTTACACCAAAAATTCAGACTGTAACGAAATAGTGGCATACTGTGATTCTGATTTTACCGGCGACATACTATCTCGGAAAAGCACTACTGGCTTCGTTTTAATGTTTTGTGGAGGACCTATTGGATGGTGTTCAAGGAGACAGCCCATAGTTTCCCTTTCCAGCACGGAAGCCATAGATAATAGATCTACAAGGGGTAATAGATGGTCAACTCGAAATGCGCTGATTTGCGCGCCCTCCGGCAGGTCTAGTCAATACTAAATAAAAAAGGCGCGCACTTCAAATGTGTTAGTTACTTATTGTTTTTCGTAATGTGTAAGTTAAAGTGAAAAATGGATAAAACAACGCAATTTTCCTTTTTATAAAAGAAAACACATTGTTTCTTTTGTTAAAAAGGAAATACATTGTTTCTTGTCCATTTTTCACCTTAACATAAGAATTAGCGAATTTTAAAGTGTAAAAGTAATAATAAGTGAAGGAATAGTAAAAAAAATTATTGAATGTTAACAAATAAACTTGTACAAAATAAAATATTTTATGTAATTTGAACAGAAAGTTGAGCAAATAGAAAAGGCCACAAAAGTCATCGAAGTCAAAAGTGAAGAAGGAACGTCATCGTTGGTGACTATGAAAATAATGCAAATTATAGTTACAAAATACATTGTAAAAGAGTCGCAAGAAGCATAAAAATTGAACGTTAGTCAACCTTTTTTGCAAAACTTACCAAAATCTGTGGCAGGACAACTTTGAAGGGATGCTCGTAGAGGGGCGAAAATTATCGGCGACTGTGAAATCTGTAAAAATAATGAAAATTATACTTAGAAAGGTACCGCACGGAATACGTTCAACAAAAGGTATGCATAAAATTGAACGTTAGTCAACCTTTTTGGAATTATTTACCTGAAATTGTGGAAAGACAACTTAGAGAGAAGCTAGTAGGAGGGCGGCGATCATCAGTGGCTGTAAAATCTGTAAAAATAATGAAAATTATATTTAGAAAGGTACGCGAAGGAAGAAAGAAAATTGCGTTACAAATAACAAGAAAATATGCCATAGTTACAATTCTTTGCCAATTGGATTTTATAAGCAATAATGTATTATTATTATTCTCATTTTAATCAGTAAACTTTAACTAATTTTCCAACTAAAATCCCTATCCCTATGTTAGCGTACTTCATTAGGTGTATATTACACAAACAAGTGTACAGTCACGGAAAGAAAATTATTGACTATTTATATTTATATTTTCCTCATTTGCATATTTGCGAATGTTGTTTTTTATATTGTAATCATTTCTGCAACATAATTAGAAATATAATTCATTTACAGGATGTATGTCAACAGTACACGAAAACTTTCTTTCGGTACGGTGTTTGTACTTTGTCAAGTTACCGGATCAGTAGTTTGCATGAGGAACGTTATTCACTCTTTTTTGTCAAGTGAATTTAATAAAACTTATTTTGCAAGCACATGTCATTTAGTTCCATTGTATAATTGAGTAGGAGAAAAATAAATCACTGTAGAGCAATCAGTTATGTAGGTATGATTTTCTTTCTTTCAAATCCAAGTCCAAATTCGTACTACAACGGAAGCAAGGTCACGCGCAAGCGAAACGAAATATACATGTAGATACTTCATAAATAAATAAACTGCTTCCGATAACGATGTCTATTTTGTAGATTATACTATTAATACCCACCACAGTCAAAGCATTCGTCAGGTTATTAGTCATTGAAATAATTTTCCTTATTCCATTTAGCATTACACATACGACACATATTGTTGTTATAATACACAAACACATCATACGCGAATGTTGGACATCTCATACAAAAAACAAAACAATTTCAATTTCTCTTCAATGAACAACGTTTCTGGTAAAAACCTAATACCAACAAATATAGCCTAAGTCTAATCTGCATTTTATACTATTTGAACAAGCAAATTACAATTTTTTCAATTAGCGTTGAACAGTACAATTTATGTACTACTTCTTTTCTTCTCATGTAATTAGATGTT